TATATGTATATGTATATGTATATGTATATGTATATGTATATGTATATGTATAGAGAGTTAGAGAACTCTGAATTTCAAATGGAAGGACGTTTCAGTTCGTGGTTAGGGTGTTGCATGGGCCCACGTGTTTAGTTTTATTGGCTGCAGTGTAGATGTATTTTGCCTTGCTTGTCTCAGGAATGCTTTTTCAGCTTTCCAGTCTAGCCTTCACCCTGGAATTTCCTGGTGGCCTCCCATCCAAGTTCTAACTGGGTCCAGTCCTTCCCTTTTTGAGATCAGCCCAGAGGCTGGGCCCATATAACATGCCATGCCCTCCCCCCCCACCCAATAATCTTAACACGGGAGCTTGCTTCACCGTAATGGGCAGCGTCAAGATTCAGGGAGATCTTGGCAAGCTGAAGCGGGTCAGGAATGGGCCAGAGGAATTTCGACAGGGATAACTGCAGGTTTGGACGGGGGAAATCAAAGCTGTGACTATGGAAAGGAGGGGACCCTCCTGGGCATGCAAAAAGCATCAGACCGCCACGGCGCATCACAAGCTGAACGTGAGCCGCTGCCGAGATGCAGCTGCAAAGCGGAAACCGATGCAGCCCTGGGCCAGATCAACAGACACGCGGGATCAAAGATTAGGGGGCATCTCAATCCCCGTTTCGTGCTGGCGCAGTGCTGCTGGAACGCTTGGGAGGCTTTGGGAAGGGCCGTGTCCAGGGGGAGCAGCCCAGGTGATAAGGGCCCGGGAGGAGGGATTACAAGAAAGGGCTGCGGAAGTTTTGGGGACGGTCTGCCTGGAGAAGAGCGAGAGCTGCGTTCGAGGGTTTTCGTGGAGGAGACAGGAAGAGATGTTGGTTGGGCGCCAGGAAGAACTTCCTGCTGTTCGAAGGCTGTCGGGCCCTCCTTCGCTTGGGTTTCAGCAGGGGCTGGAGGGCCTCTCTCAGGGGTGCTAGTGGGAACCCCCTGCGCTGGGCAGGGGGTGGGCCGGATGATCTCCAAATCCCCTCCCATTCTAGGACTGCAAGAAGTTAGGTCCGCGCTGGGTTCCCTGGACTGCTGGCTGGCCAGTGGCGGTGCTGCTCCAGCCAGACCGGACTTGGCTTGTCAGCCCAGTTGGTCACATCCAGTTTGGAAAACTGATCCAATGCAGAATAAAGTCTTTTTGCTGAGGATACGATTCAGAAAGCCGATCCAGTTGCTTTGGGGCACGAGCCTTTTCGCAGACTGCGTTCCCAGACCCGCTCGTAGGAGCCCGGCCGTGGAGGGGCTCTGGGCCTGACGTGGGGGAAGCGTGATGGTTTCCGGAACCAGCCGCTGCCCCTTGCCTTGGCCTTTTCCCTGCTCTGTGTTGGAAACTGAGCTCTGCGCCTCTCCTTTTCGCTCCAGAACGGGCGGACCCCCCTGATGATCGCGGCCCAGGGGAACCAGGCGGCCATCTGCTCTCAGCTGCTCCAGAGGGGAGCCAAGGTTGACCTCGTGGATAAGGATGGCAAGTGAGTCTCTCATTTTCAGCGCCCACCCTGCGAGGCAGGCCAAGAGAGGCGTGTAATCCAGCCACTTCATCCCTGAGTCAGGATTGGCTACTGGGCTTCTCCAACATCCAGACATTTTGACTGCAGGCCCCATCCACCCCAGCCCAGTGGCATCCAGATCAAAATCAGCAGGGGCAGACGGAACGTTGCAATGCAAGCTCCGCCCCTTTGGAATGCAAACGGACAGAGGGGCGGGGCTTGCACTGCAACGTTCCGTCTGACCCCAGCCGCCCAGAGTGGCACGTATGAGATGGGCGGCCATATAAACCCAATAAATAAAAATAAGTAAGATTTCCTATCTAGTCCACCATCCTGTTCAACAGTCCAATGGAAGCTTCTAGGGAACTAACAGAGCAAAAGATGTGAAGACCGATGTAAGCCCCTGCCGTTAACCCCCAGCATCTGGTTCTCAAGGGTAGACTGCCTCTGAACAAGGAGGCACGATTGAGCTATCACAGTTGGTGAGGACGCTCTTGGATCCACCTAGCCCAGCATCCTGTTTCTAACAGTGCCACCGGCAGGAGGTGAGAAGGTCTCTGGATTTCTCTGGGGGAGGTCTTTTCCTAGAAGTCTGGTTTTATTGGGCCTTAGGAGGGCTCAGAGAAAAGACAAATCAGAAGCACTTTTTTTTTCTTTAACTCCCAAGCATTCTTAGCCAACGTGGGCATTGCTGAGAATCCAGGAAATTAAATTCGCACTTCTAGATGTTAGTTAAAGCTTCCTAACAATAAGAGCACTGCCACAGTAAAGTAATGGTGCATGGATTGGACTAACGGCCTCGCAGTTCTTTCGTGCTAGTCCAGCGGTGAGGCTCTGCGCAAATCCCTCTGACCACATTGCTCTTGCGGGTCTCGAGCTTCAGACCGGATGTTTTGGGTGGGGAGCGCTGAGGAGCACGCAGGTCCCCCCTCCCCCCGATCCCAGTCCTCAGAGTCCCCCAGCAGAGCTGAGGGGCAGAAGAGTGGGCCAGGGCAAAGCCCTTCTCTTCGCGAGGCATAGCGAGCTTGTGGAACCGACTGCCACAAGGTGTGCTGACGCTCGCTGCCTTTGGGCTTGAAAGGACGGGCGAAAGGCTTATTAGCCCAGAGAACTCGGTGCCCCTCCGGTCCAGAGGTGGGAGGAGTTTTGACTGCACCACCTGCTGCCAGATGTCCAAGTTCATCTCTGTGGCAAGGGCTGAGAGGAGGGATTTGGCTCCTTTCCTTTTTAAAAAATGCTGTTTTATTATTATAAAACAAGTATGACATTATATTCTTTGGGTACAGTGGTATTGGTACAATACAGGGTAGACTGGTGATTATTAACACCCTGATGCTTAGATAATTTAAGCCTTTAAAGATAAAGAAAAAGAAAGTGTATATCAATATTAACTATGATTCTAAAATGTTAATGTTGATAAGCATAAGGTTGCTTAAATTTTACTTCTAGAGCTGAATGCGGCATTGATAAACAATTGCAAAATGCATTAAATTATTTGTTATATAATAAAGGTTTCTATCCTAAGCTTCATTCTTAATAGTAAGGCCTCGCCCGTATTGTTACTTATTGTTATCTATGTATATGTAAAGAAAAAAGAAAGAAAACAAGCATAGACAAGCACCTTTGGGGCTTCTCGAGGAGGTCCCGTGCCGTCTGGTGCTGGGTGTGCGCGGCGCTCACCCCGCCGGCCCTCTCCTCCCTTGCCCAGGACAGCCCTCCTCCTCGCCTGCGAAAGTGGGGGCACAGAGGCAGCCGACCTGCTCCTGCAGAACGGAGCCAACGTGGCCCTGATGGACAAGGCAGGCCACGATTCCCTGCACTACGCCACACGGAGCAAGAATCGGGCTCTTCGGAGACGGGTTCGGACTGCCTTGAAGAAGTGGAAAAAAAGAGGTATGGGGGGCTGGACAGAGAAATTTCTACTCACATCAGTTTGGGAGCAACAGTGTATGTGTGATAGCTGTAGTCTCAACCAGTCTTGCCTTTTTAGTTGCAGAAAAATATTTTGATTAACTTAGTGGATTAAAAATGAGTCGGTTGCCCCAGACAGCTGTTTTTTAGTAACACGTGATCTGCAATAGTTATGTAATGAGCACTAGTTGCTATGCCAGGGTAAACATGCATTCCGGGAACAATCTACCTGTCCCAAGAGAAGCTAAATTGCAGATCTTGTCCAGCTTATGCCAATTTAGCCAATTCTCAGTTCCTTGCAAATTTTAAAGCAATAATTGACTCCACACACTAGCTAAAAATAGTCCCCCTCATGGGGTTATTGTGAGGTTAAAAAGTAAGGAAGAATAAGCTATGAGTTGGGATGAATTAAGTATTCCTTCACTTAAGGAAAAGGAGGGTAGACGTAGTGCAATTATTCTATGCTGCTATGCTGTACACAGAACTAAGGCACATTTCATTTGAAGCGTCCTTGCTGATTTTCCAAGCCAGCCTCGCCAGGGGCATCCTCAGGATGTGGTCAAAAAAGTCAAGGTTGCGACTGCAACAGTGTAGTCGAAGCCCTCCCTGTGTGCACAGGCAAAACAGAAGCGGGGCTTCAATTACACCATCGTGGCTGCCATCTTGACTTTTTTGACCACCTCCCTGATAGTTGGAGTGGCATGGTGAGGTAGTTCCCTCACTCTGGGAAGAAAAATGAGGACCAATGTTCACAGAAGGGGCTTCCACAATTCAGTGGCCTCGCTTGCTGCAATAACCTGCCGTACTATGAGACTGGGAATTTTGCTCTCTTGGTTGTGAGCGGCTGTAAGCTTATTGTTATCCTTTGTTAGACATGCTCCCCGCCGAGGCTCCCATCGGACCAGTTGTACCGCACTGGGTTGGGTGGATTTTAAAGAGGTCAGAGGTGCGTCAGCCGCCTCTAAAGGGTTTCCTGTCTGGCTCAGCTTATTTCTCTTGGGATTCATCCAGCTGTTCTTAACATCACAGGTGTTCTGTAACTTAGTAAATTCTTTAGCTTATGGACCACAAGCCATTATTTTAAAGACCTCCGTGCTCTGGTTTTCTCCTTGGCAGCCAAAAGTCTTCCTATCGCTTCTGACCTTCAGCTTTCCAGCCAGCCCCATTTATCCACACAATTCCTTTGTTTGCAACTTCTTGACCATGCGTGTGCCCATTCTTCTGCCCCCTCCAATATTTTCCCACTCATCTTCCATTCGTGCTCTAAAATGCTTATGCTGCATTTAAGGGGCTCTAAATATGTTATAATAGTGCAGTGTGTTTCAACCTGGGCAGCTTTCGGTTGGGTGGACTCCAACTCCCAGAATTCCCCAGCCAATTCTGGGAGTTGGAGTCCACCCATCTGAAAGCTGCCGAGGTTGAGAAACCCTGCAACAGTGATTGGCTAGAGAAATTAGAATAACCCAGATCCCTGCAGAATACCAAGAAGGGCTGCCTGGATGATTTTCCACCACCGGATGGAGTCCTACGTGTGGCTGTCCCATCAGAGGTTAACAAAGACAGCAAAGGTATTCCCCAGAAACCTGGCATGGAAGCCCCCACCCCTGCAAAAGAAAATAACATTCTCTGCACCTCAACTTTCAGCCAGTTCATCTCTTGTATTTCTCTTTCCACAGAACTAGGAATCATTGATTCGTCAGAAACTGGTTCGCAGGTAAGAGCAGCCATTAACATTTTGAACAGAAGAACCAGCGGTTTTCTAGCTCTGTTAGGCAATTTGCACTGGTGGGGTTTTTGAGGGGGAGGGGGGTATTGAAAAATTTGACTCACTTGTACAACACAGGAGTGACTCCCTAACTCATCTTCCTTATGCTATTTCCTTCTTTACAAAAATGTTTCCCTCTTTTTCTGGAGGAAATTTTCAGGCACTGCTGATTTATATGTGTTCAAACTAGCAGAGTAGCCCCCCTGACCACAGGAATATTTTCAAATCTGTATGTAGAAACTGGTTTTCTATCACTTTTCACCACTTCTGATGTTGGGAGGCATTTTAAAAGTATTGTCTGGGGTTGAGTCTCAAACTTCAGGAGCTACTTCTGGCTTTGCACCACCATAAACGTGTTGGTCTCTAAGGTCCTGCAAAGGTCTTTATGTTTTTGGTGCAGTAAATTTAAGACCATCGTCCCTCTGAAAATTGGCATCCATGAAAAGTCAGGAACAATCAGTTCTTGCTGCACATGTTTGCTCCAGCTTGTCCAGATGATTTCTGCAACTTTTCATTCAGGTGCCATCTGAGAGTGGGAAAGAGACCGATGTGAGTAGCTTGGCCTTCCAGAGTGAGGGAGGAGATCAAAGTGATGATGAAGAAGAGGCTGAGGAGGACCCCGAGTTACGAGAATGGCGGAGCAGGTTCCGGGAAGAGAAGATGAAAGTGATCCAGTTAGAGCTGCAGCTGGATCAAAAGATGAAAGAATGTGAGGTTCTCTCTGAGGGATCCAAGCTGTTGAAGGAGAGAGTGTGGGACCAAGTGCAGGAGATCAGCCAGCTCCTGCCGGAACAGGAGGGAAGGGGCAAGGACTGGAAGCAGCTCAGTCAGCGGTACAGCCGTGATGCCACGGAGGAAGATTACTATCTCAACCTTTTGGCACAGCAAGTACAAGAACTGAAGGAGAGGAAGAAGCAACAAGAAGCAGAGAAGGAACGGCTCAAAATGGTGGCTACAATGCAAGAAGCAGGACGAGAGGAGCCCAAGCCCGCCATGGTCCAGCCCAAGAAGGTACAGTGGCCTGGAGAGGAGGAGGCGGAGGAGCAGAAGCGGCAGCAAACGGAGCTGAGGCGCCTGCAGAGCGAAGTGGCTGCAGCCCTGGAGGAGAAGGCGAGTGCAACAAAGAGGGTGCAAGAGATGGAGGGTCACATGGAGAACATGAGGGCTGTGATTGGGGTCTTTGAAGCCAAGAAAAAGTCCCAGAATGCGGCTCTCAAGGAAATGGAGGCTCGTGTGCTGGAGCTGGGGGATGAAAACCGAAGGCTGCGTGGGCTCTTGGGCAAACACATGGCCGAACCCCCTGAGAACGGGCTTGCCCATGCAAAGGTGGCTCAATTCATTAAGGAGATGGAGGAGACCCATTCCAGGGTACAGAAGGAGACGGTGGCAGTGGTGGCTGAAAACGAGGCCCTGAAGAAAGAAGCAGAAGAGGCTGTCAGGAGCAGGCTGCAGTTCCAAGCGGTGCCATCCGGGGCAGTCAAGAAGTGCATCTCTGCCTGGAAGAAGGTGGTCACGGGCCTTGAGGATGCTCTGGCCAAGCTGGAGCAGGTCTGTGCCACCCTCCTGGAAAAAGTCAGGCCTCTTCAAGAAGCTATTTTGGCCCCTCCATCCAGAACCTGGGTCAATGGCAACGGCCTTTCTGAAGAAGAGAAGAATGCCTTTGGCGATGAGCCAGGCAGCTCAAAGGCCCTTGAGGAGCTGGAAGACATTGGGGCAGAAAAGACCCAGCTCCATAATGGGCTGGTTGGGCAGGTGAAGCTCAGGCCAAAGCCTGAGCTGGTAGAAAACAAGGCTCGTCCATGTCGGAAAAGCTCTGACCTAGAGAAGGAGGTGTGGGACCTCAAGCAGAACAATGGTGGCCTCGTGAAAGAACTGGCTCAGCTGAGCAGGGAAAGGGAGAAGCTGCAGGAGGAGCTACAGAAATTACGTTCTTCCAAAGAGGGTTCTCCTCGGGCCGAGAGGACAGGGTGCCTGGTGGAGGAGCTGAAGCGGACTGTGGATGTCTTGTCCCAACAGCTCTCACTGGAGAAAGAGGAATCGGGGAAGCTGCGCCTGAAGCTGGAGGAGCAGAGAAAGGAGATGATGTTTGTGAGAAATAACTTCCTCAAAAAGATAACCCAAGATGCCAGCAATATAGCAGCTGAAAACCTAGACAGTTACATCTTGAAGGAGCTACACTGGAAATTGGACAATGTGGTGAGGAAGCAAAATGAAGCCCTGCAACTGGTGTCCGAGATGGAAGAGGAAAACCATGCGCTGGAGGTGGACCGAACCCTCTTGGTTGATCCCAGGAGCCTTGACTGCTTCCCAGGAGATGAAAAACCTTGTAAGGAAATTTTCTTAGAGGCTTCAGATGTCATAGGAGAAAACTGGAGAGTCAGAGAGCAGATGGTTGAGCTCGAGAAAGGTTTGCAGGAGCTGAAGAAGGTGCTGGGTGCATCCCAGGTGACTCTGGGAAGCATCAAGGTGGCCAGCCTGATGCAGCTGCTGGATCAAGTCATGGCCCAGATGGCCAAGCTGCGCCAGGAAGAGGAGCAGGCCCTCAGCAAGTATGAGAAGATCTGCAGCATGCTTTCTACCAGGGCTCAGGTCCTGGGGGAGGAGCTGGCTGCCCTCCGGGAGAAATACCAGGAAGCTAGTGGAGCATCTGCGCGTCACAAGGAAGCCCTTGACTATGAACTGAAGAAGAATCAAGAGCTGATGGCTGAGGCTCTGGAGCATGAGGAGGAAGTGGAAGAGCTGAGAGGGAAGTCACAGATGCTGGGAAGTACAGTGGAAAAGTTGAATAAGAAGGTGGATGAAATGTCCAAGATGTGCCAGGACAGAGAAGCCAAGGTAGGAGCATCCAGAACAAAGGGGGGGAGGCAACTTTTGGGAAGCCAAGGGTCACACTGAACTTCTGGAGCACGGAAGGCCACAGAAGGAGTGGGGCCATATTGCACAGGTGGGCAGCACAAGGATCTGGGGGTTCTTTGTGTGTTAACTACGATCTCCCTACTTTAAGGTTTCAGCGATTTTCTTCCTGAAATGACAGGAAATTTTACATGTTTCCCCATGCAGCTCTCCCTACAAGTTAGGTTGTGGAATCTTTGTTCTCGTATAATGCTCATCCATAACTTTTAAACTGTGGTTTGTTGAAAAGACCGCGATGACCTGGATTGTGAAGGGGTGCACAGCTCTTTTCAGACTGAAGTCCTTGACTCAGTCCCTGTGGAGGATTTCATGGGATACATTCCCCAAAGTAAGAAGGGCCAGGACAAAAAAATTATTTCAATTTAATTGAGCTACAAACTCATAAATTAAGCACAGTTAATTTGGTTTGCTCCAGTGGACTTAGCGGATTTCTCCTTCTATCACAGTTCAGAGAAATCTTTTGGAAGTTGCCCAAAGGTGGTGCTGAGCCCTGCAGGTGATGGAGCTCTGCCAGAAATACAAAAGCAGACAACTTTAATGGCACAGCGCGAAAGTGGCGCAAACATCTGGCTGAAGTTTCTATATGGGGCTTTGTGAGTGAGCAATTATTTGAGCAACTGATGATTGTTGTGGGATCAAATGATTCTGGATCCTGATGCAATCCCAGAGTGTTCAGCTATAAAAATACACACCATTTTTTTCTGTGGAACTGCAGCCATTATTATCAGCATGTTTTAATACACACACCAAAAAATGAATATTTGATAGGTCCTCACTAGTGGCTCTGCAGTTAAAAAATGATCCCGTTTGATAGACAGGGAGAATGAGTCTAAGAAGAAGTTTGATCCAGAAGTCCCTAAGGCTGGTGGGATTTTGCATACTGTCTTTTTCATTTCCCTCAGATCAAAAAGTTGCTGAAGGAAACGGAGAAGCTCTCAAGCGAAATCCTCAACCTACGCAGTGAACGCACCCGCTTGATCCTGCAGAATGAGGTGAGTTGCGCAGGACTTTACGTAGGTGTGTGACACTCTGGAGATGAATTGATTCTAGAGTGGGCATTCATGGCATTTGGACAAGCTGGTTCTAGTGATCCCAAGCAAGACTTTTGCAGCCAAAAAAATCAGTAATTTGAACCACCCTGAGCCAGTGAGAAGTATTCAGTCCAGGAGAGGCAAACCTAATCCAGTTTCAGCTCAGCAATTTCTCTCTCGCTAGTCGGTGAGGATTTATGTGGAATCTGCACATAAAGAGAGGTGGAGATTTGATCACAGCAGCACAGCTGCCATCTTGACTTTTCTGACCACACCCTGGTGGACATCCCTGAACTTGCAGCTTCTAGGAGTTTCTTGGAGATGCTGCAAATCCCATAAACCGGGATTCCACTTTGGAAAGGAACTGCGAATATCTCATTCCCATTCAGCCTTCTGTATGAGGAATGCACATATTGGAGCCCCCCCGCTTTCCTCATAGAGGAAAGCCTTGTGGGTCGGGGAGAAAGGAATCCTCATCAGCTGACACATCGCCCTGCCCTGACAACCAGCCATACGCTTCCCTAGGGAGTGTGAGGTTTGCCCCGTTCGACAGAGAAACTCCCGTGACA